GAGTTGTTTTTGTTTTTCCTGATATGGTTTTCGCTACCTGTGCAGATTCACAGAGTTCACAAAGTTCTTGTTCGTAAGGGTTTATTCATTCTGAATCATTCTGATGAGTAAAAGTATTTTAATCCAGTAAGTCATAGCAACAATGACCTCTTCTGTCAACAGTTTGTCTTTATAGGTTTAATTTCTCTGTAAATCCATTTTTTTTCAGGGGCTGTAATCAAAAGTGGACCTTCTGGTCACCAATGGTAAACCCTGACGGGGGGCTGTGCAATTAAACAACTACTACTTTTCAAGAAGAACTTGATTTACAGAAACATATCTCTGTGGTTGTTATACAAACACCACAGTTGTGGAAACATATTTCACATATGGGTTGGTATGGGGATAGCACTATGAGTTTCACCGCTTTGATAAAAAGAGGTTTATACATTATATGTACTGTAAAATGCACATTAGTTATTCGTGTGTTCTAATATGAAGATAACCTTTAAAATGACATCAACCAAGGATTCGATAACAAGGATGCCACAATTTACACAAACACCATCAAACAGCAGCTCTGCGCTGTCTGTTATGAAGGCCACATTTAGTAACTATCTTGATGATAAGAACATCAATATCTTAACAGTAAAAAAGCCCAGGCTTCACTTACTAACAGGCTTTTAGTCATTTTTGCCGCCTGTTGGTTGCACCCATTTCTGATACTCCAGAAGTATGTTTTCAAGATTCATGCTAATCATGCCATTAATATCAAACAAACATTATTAACCATAAAGGGAAAAAAGGGGGGAGGGGTTGTTATGGTTACACTCCATATAAAAATTCACAATTTACTTATAAATATCCTCTTTTCTTTTTTTTTGTTGTTGCATGTTTTCACAACCATAACCTAAGTGCGACTGTATCCACTATTAGTGTATTTTATTATGTTACCTTTGATCCTAATCAACATTGTATGATAAGAAAAACTTCAACATCCCATATTTTTCTTATCATACAATGTTGCACAAAGGAGTTATTTTTCTATACTTCTACATACGAGTCTTCTCTGTATTTGTATTCCACAAATACAAAAAAACATCACAAATAAGAAACATGATGTTCTTTACCTTATCTTCCTAATAACGGTATCAGCCCCCCCGCCCCCAGAAAAGAAAATTCTGACTCCGCCAATGCCCAGGTTTCATACTGAACAGGATATTATGTACGGAATCGTTTCTTTATTCATGATTCTTTTTGCTGCCGTTTATCTACATTCGTTTGAATCGTTTTGCCTTCTTCGAACTAATGTTGTGACCCTTCACACAAACTAAAGAACAGAAAGCTATTTCAAGGAATGTTTCTCCTGGCGTGAAGACGTCAGCCTAGGAGGAAGGCACTCGGGACTTATTATCCAACAGCATTCAACCGCCTTTCTTTCAACTGCGTATATTTAAGCTGGAGGTGATAAACGAGAAAAGAGTTAATGCTCGTGGAGACCAAAGTTCATTCCGCCTGCTTGCCTGACTGTTGCAGGCCTCCTTCCTCCCCTCAGCCCGGACTTCTTTAGCAGAGGTCAACACCCTGAAGTTACAATATGTGAATGTGGAATTTCGCACTGACTCGAGGTTTATTATTGGCTGCATTAAGGCACTCTTGTCGTTTTATCTTTGAACAGCCTATTCTGTATGGTGTACGTGTGAGGTAAACTGATACTTACAGAACTCCATGAGCGACTGGCACCGCCAGTTGTCTTTTAAGCCGCGGCACTGCTCCCACATACTGGCGTAGTGAGACCTGGCGTCCTCGTCCTCTACCCATCCCGATTGTGCGCAGATGGCGATAAGGTCAAAAATAATGGCGAAGAGCAGAAGCAGGGGAATGATCCACCTGCATCGAGGGTAGGCGATCCCACAGCGAAACATGACCGACGATCAGCGAGCGTTGAGCGGTGTGCACGGAGAGGAAAGGCGAGCAAAGGAGCCGAAATCTGTCCGCTCAATGTCTTATGCGTCTTTGCGCAGTGACAGTGACAGTGGGTGATGTGAGGATATAACATAAAAGCTCCAGCCCCACCCAAGAGTGAAATGTACCCGTCAGCCAGGTTAGGATCGCGAAGGGCTGGGCTTATTTGTATACAATAGCAAAGTATAGCCCATCCCCACTCAGTGTGTCATATTACACACCCAACAACCGGCCTGTGACCGTGACTGTCTAAGCTCGAGTCCTGATCACAGAAAGGATTGCGTTTAACAGAAGATAGTTGAGCTGAATGCTGCAGAGATGTACTTTTCTTTTTCGGAATTCCAACAGGTAGTACAGATAGTGCTGTGAGGTAGAAAATATAAAGAGTACAAAATAAATGTAATAAATGTAAAATGCCACAAGATGGCAGCCCAGCTAACCTTAATATTTTCTTTAAAGGTAAGGAGGTTAAAAAAAAAACAAAAAAACCCCCCAAGAACACAGCTTTTGGCTGTATTTATTCTGTATGACTTTATGATTTTTACATGGAACTGTCTATCTAATCAAAAATTAAATGTATGATTCCGTAACTTATTGAATCATCTTTAACGGCAATAACTGTATATGGAGGGATTTTGGTCCACTCGTCTTTACGACACTGCTTCAGGTCCCTGTTTGAGCCATGCTTTAATTGTGAGACAGATGGTCTCATATTTGACTCTAGAATACTTTGGTATAAAGTGAAGTTCATGGTCAACTCGACTGCAAAGTGCCCAGATCCTTTGGCTGTAAAACAAGCCCAAATCATCACCCTTTCATCATCGTGCTGCAAATGAGGGTTTTTTTTATGGGGCTTTGCTGTGTTTGGTTTTAGAAAACCTAAGCTGTGCTGCCAAGCTCATTTTAGATAGAAGAGGCTTTTCTCCTGGCAACCCTTCCAAACAAAATACTATAGCTGCTACTTACATTCTTAATTCTTATGGAAGCAGTAAGGGTGTATGTAGTTTTTCCAAAGGATTGCACAGAGTCCTGTGAAACCTTTATTTTTCAGATGAATGTAGTTATCTCTTAATAAAGAAGTAAATTAAAAAACATACTGTGATTGTAGATTACTATAATAAATTGTTAGACAACACTCAGTTGTCACCTGTGGAGAGCACATTGGACTTTTTTGGTCCAACACCTAATTACAGTTTGCTTGTTTGCTTTAGCACATTTCTCACAAGTTCTCAGTTCTGAAGATTTCTTTTGCAAAATAGAGCATGCTTATGCATTCAGAAAAAAACCCACTCAGGTTAATCTGCAAAAGCTGTAGCTCACTGGAAATACTTAATTCATGTGTCAAAATGTTTTTTGTTTTTTGTATTGATCAATAAGTAATGACTACCAATAGATAGATAGATAAATAGATAAATAGATAAATTAATATTTAGTCACAATTATGGTAGCAATGTGTTCCTCATCTTCTAATTTTCTGTTAGTTTTGTGACATTGAATGTCTGGCATACCAGTTATTGTCTCATGGTAACTCTGTGCAACATTAACAGTTTTTAGAAATTAATTTCAAGGCCAGTGGTTTTATTTATTTATTTATTTGTAAAGCAAAAAAAGCCCTTTTATTTCCTAAACACAATACAGTAAACTACAGGAGCGTGGAAAAAACACCAGGACTGCACAGAATGAGACATGCAGACTATCAGTACCAAAATGTGCAGAACCTGATGCTCTCCCTGGTGGCATAATGGATGAAGAACTGGTATTAAATCCAAATCCATCCTCTGCAGTGTTCTGCGTCGTCTTATGTTTTGTTCTACATGCTGCAAACACTCCCACTCCTCCTTCTCTTCAGCAGCTTCCATAAAATATATATAAGAGATTACTTACACCAACAATTAAAAAACACCAATGCTTCCTTGGGGTTGACAGTGCATAAGAGAGGTGAAGAAGAGAGTCTAGGTGGAGTGGGTGGAGATGAGTGTCAGGGGTTCTTTCTAACAAAAGGATAGCAGTAAGAGTGTGACCTGTTATGATATGTGGTGTGGAGATGGTGGCGCTAAGAAGAACACGTGGAGGACAAATTGAAAGTGGCAGGGTTGAAGATGCTGAGATTTTAACTGGGAGTGACCAGGATGGAGAGGCTAGATATGAGTACATCAGTGGGAAAGCTCAGGATGGAGACAAAGTCAGAGAGGCAAGGCTGAGAGGTTTGGACATGTGTAGAGGAGGGACAGTGGTATGCATATGGTGCTGCCAGGCAGGAGGAAAAGAGGAAGACCACAGAGGAGGTTCATTGATATTGTGAAGGAGGACATGACGGAGGTTGGTGTGACAGAGGAGGATGCTAGGGTTAGGGTGAGATGGAGACAGTCCCCTAAAAGGAGTGGCTGGCAGAAGAAGCCAAAATATTAATTAATTAATTAATTAATTAATTTATTTATTATTATTATTATTATTTGGAATAAAACTTGTCAGCTGATAGAAAAAATACACATGTTTTCGCAAAAAGTTATATGCAACCAATATTTGTTTTTAGTCATGGTCCTGTCAGGCCAAGGCTGTTTTTCTTCTTCTCTCTTTTTCTCTCTCTCACTTCTGCCTCCCCCTTCTCAGGTGGAGTTGCCCACCCTGAGGTGACTCCAGTTTGAGTGTCCACACTCTGCAAGATCATTGGTTCCTTAGTATTGCATGGTGTTAAGATTGCTGGAAAGATTTTGGTGCATTCCTCCAAACTCAGCTTACCTGCACTTTCAAGTGGGACGTTACCTGTCAAGAGAAATAAGTTAATTTCCTGCCCGCTCTCCACCACTCTCTTCTGTTCTCTCTCTTGATTTTTCCAGCCTACTTGTTTGGCCAGTGCAATCTGCTAAGGAGAAACACAGAAGTAAACAACTTGAAACTGTATCTGCGATCCTCACCTCAGTCAGCTCTTACGTGTCCTCTTCTCTCTGAGAGAAATCCCCATTTCCCTGTAAAGAGTTCACTTACCTGTGTACTCACCTGTTTCAAAATTCTTCAGAATTCTGTAAACTTTCAGGCTGCTGTGCTTTTTCTTGAGTCCGGTGTCACTTTTATTATGACGAAAACATTATCAAATGATAACAAAGAACAAGAAATGCTCTAGCTAATGTGCACAGATAGCAACTCTTACGGAGGTTTTCCACAGTTATCTTTGTCTCTCTGTCAGCCCTTTGAATACCTGCATGTTTATCCGAATAACAGGCAAAGTCAAACTGGTGACTGATATTACACAGCCATGTTCAGTTTCTTTCACTGTAATCTTCATGCACATGAAATGAAGACTTAGCTCA